TCACTCTGTAGGCCACCTGGTTGATCTGCCACCATTAGGGCATTGCTCAGGGACTGGGTGATATTATTAATGTTGGGGAGGTAGGCCAGTTCATCATCACTGAGAAAATTAACCATTGTCTGCAGCAAATGGTGGAGGTCTGTCACAGGGGTGGACATATTCATGGAAGAGTCTCCCCATTGGAGCATACTAGTGAGAACCAACGTGACATTGGGCTGTTCCACCCACTTCTGTATGAGATCAAGGTATAGATTAACTTGGTGCCTAGCAGCATACAGAATGGTTGTGTTGAGCCACGGGTCATAACCTGGGAGATTAGATTGGCTCTCCAAATTGTCCATTGTTGATTCAAATATACGCTGGAAAATCTCAACTGCTGTCTGGCCAATTTTCCTCACCCCTGCACCATCTATTGGGTACTGGAGGCTGTTCATCAGGAGCTCAACCTGGCTACCCACAAACAAAGAGACATTTAGCTGTGCCAGCTGTACTGTCACTTGCATTTGCGTGAGGTAGAAAAAGGGATGGAGGAGCTCTGAGACTGAGCTGGTGCTGGTGATATTTTCCAGCCTTTTCAAGTACCAATTTATAGTGCTTAGATAGACTTTCTGAGCATACATGGTGTCGTTAAAATTGTTGGACAACAGTTTGGGGTTGGCAGCTAGATGTATCAGACCTTCCAGTACTCTGATTTCATTCATGATCTCTGGAGTGTTCAGCTGGTTCAGCTGGAGGCCCATCTTGACATTGGCCAGGGTGCTGTTCAGGGTGTTTACGAGAACCATGTCAGGACTGGCGCTGAAGTTAACTTGGACAACATCACTGATGGCATTGTTGATGATCAACGGAATGAGGGAGAGGATTGCTGTCTCATTACGGAGAGCAGGTAGGTGTGTCAGGAAACTGTTGACCCCGTTTATCAACTCCATAACACACTGCATTGTCACCATCTCGTTATTCTGTGGCTCAAAACACTGGCGGACATTGATGACCTCCATTATATTTACAATCAGGTCGTTTATGTTGGCAGCTCCAGCTAGTGCAGCAATGTTGTTCAGCTCCTCAAGGGTTAGGTTTGACTGTCTGAGAGCATTCTGGATATCAGACACGGTAATATTTGGTGTAGCCATGATCACTCTGATGAAATGAAGAGTCTGTTTGAATGTTTCCACATAGGCAGCATCGTTTGAGGACAGGAGAAGTGAGAAGAAAAGGGATGCAATTTCTTCATATTCCCGTCCCACCAGAACAGACTTGTTTGCAGCCAAATTAATTGTGACATTACCATTAGCCGAAAGTGTAATTTCCAGTATCTGATCCAGAAATGCAAAGACTTCTGAGATTCCAGCCAAACAGTTCTGGCCTGCTGCACATTTGATTATTTGATACTGCAAAGCTTTGAAATCCTGGAGAAAGCGAGCAGCTTCCTCTTGGATCTGAGGTGGTAAGAATGCCACAAATTTCTGTATGACAATGTTCTGGGCAGCATCTGGTCCAGCCTGGGCAAGGTTCTCAAGGCTCTCAGGGGTGAGGAGGCTGAGAAAGTCCATGGAAAGCAGGTGAAGGTCAGTGACTTGTGCTGTGCTCAGCTGCCCACTTGGTAACACGAGATTTTGGATTCTTCGCAGTCTAAACATTGACATCACAAATTCTTGAAGCTGGCGTATGTACCCAATAATTATGTTAGTTGGGTCACCATTTGGAGAATCCGTAACTGTCTTCAAAAGCTCCATGGCACTGAGGATGGACTCTACAAGGCCTGCTGAGGTCTGGTTGGTGAAAGGCTGGATGGCTTCTCTGAGACGGGCCACATCATCAGGGTGGAAGTAGTTTGAATAGGTGAGCAGAGTGTGTCCCATGATGTGGGAGAGAGACATGGTGAGGTTACCCTCCAAGGAGAGGAACTGCATGATCAACCGTTCCAGTTCAGGCATTGTTGGGTTCGTCTCATTGAAGGTAAAAATGTGCTGGTTGACTCTGCCGATCTTTGAGGCAACATCAATCACTGTGGAGACATTGAGGGGACCTTCACTGAGAAGCAGAGGCAGCAGTGGTGCCAGGCCTGTGGACTGTAACAGGTTACCGATGTGGGGAAGTATGACATCAGGGTTAGAGATGCTTTGGTCACTAAGTGTGGTGATTTTCTGGACAAAGCCATCCAGGTTATTCAGCAGGTTAATCAGGTAGGCAGAGAGTGCATCTCCACCTTGAATTCCTTCTTTCAAATATGATCCTGCCAGATGTTTATATATGTCACCATACACATGCTGCAACAGATTCACAGTTCCTTTAAGACAACTACAGAGAAAAAAAAGAGTGGAAGAGAACATGTCAGAATTGTATAAATGGCTAATGTATGTAAAACAATAACAACAATAAATTAACACTTTTTCTGGTGTTGTAAAAGCCATGGTCTGTACTATGCTGAACTCCACATTTGTACAAAGAGGCTGCTTGTTTAATCATTACAAATCCATAACAATGCTAGGAATTTAGCTATATTAAATATTTAATGTATGGAATAGTTCAACATTTTAAGACACATGTTTGCTTTTTGCCACAGCTTAGATGATAATATTAGTGCCACTCTCATATCTGTCCAAGCAGAATTGAGTCAGTTTGTTGTGTATGGGGCATAACATCATGGTGATTATAATGTTTTTCAGTTGTTCTTCTCGTCAAACTCTCACCAAGAAAACAAATAGGCATATTTCTTATTAAACTCCACTTTTAATCAGTATCATTCATTAAAACTACCAAGCTCTTTCACTTACTTCAACAGGACTTCTTGGTTTGGTGACATCAGAGCATCAGCCATTGCTTTTACAAAATGTTGCCAGTTCAAACCAGTATCGCACTGAATGGCAAAGGTGTTGATGTTAACAGAACCTATATGGAAAGGTAAACATATTACACACATAGTTGAATGCTCTTAATCCAGTGGCATTTTGATAATAACATATAAAAGAGAATAGAGAAGAAACATAACTCACAGTTTGCTGGCTGAGTTGTGACACCAGGCCTGTAGTTCAAAATCCAGTAAACCATGTGGAAATAGTTCTTTACCTCAGGCCACAGTTGACTCTTCTCAATAGTTTGTCCAAAATTCACCACGGACAAAAACACACTACAAGCAAAGAAAAGCAAAAGCACAACACTGTTGACACAGAGAAATGATAACAGAAAGCATGGAATGTAACATTGTGCACATTATATACTGTAAACACCATCATGAAGGATTGAGCCTGTTTTTGCCTTTATTGGTTCACTAACACTAAATCCACTGAAATGTACCATGTCCATAGCTTTGTCCAAATTAACTGAAAATTATACACTGGAAAATAAAAGTTGGTCGGCCCAGGCCTTAAATGTTTAAGTGGAAGACTTTTCATTTGCAGACTTTTAGACAACCTGTAAACAGCAAATCAAAGATAGATACGCAAAGAGGAGTATAGTGCTCTGTAATGAAACCCTGCAGGTATATCATCAAGACCTTTGTTGAAGAGTCCCAATAACATCAAGAGTGATGTTTGGCATCCAGTTCATCCAGTATGCTCCACCCAGTTCTGTGGCCAGTCGTTCCGAAAACATTCCAAACTGCAAAGAGTCATTGTACAACTTGTGCCACTCAGAGAGAATCATAGGAAGTGTCACGTTGTAGTCTGCTTGTTGTGTGAAGGTGCTGTACAAGTCTTGTACCTGTCGAGACATAATATGAAACAAGAAATGAGATTATATAAATTATGACATAAATAAAATAAATAGATTAAGTTTTAAACCCCATGTCAGACACAATTGATGATACTAAGAACAGAAAATGATATATAGGTATATATATATATATATATATATATATAGCTACCTATATAGGTAGGACATATGTGAATCCATTATAGATGGATACAATCTTCTGTATGTGTTTCTCTATAAATTATCTGTTACAGACTTTAATACTGGCTGATTCTGTCAACATTTCAACCCCAAAATTACAAAATTTGTTCCATAACAATATAGAAGAGTAAAGAGTAGCATAAAGTTGGAGGAGGACTCACAAATCATTTATGTTTTTTACATAATAGGTGAATTTTAGGCAACATTTCACTTTGAAATTAAACTTTACAAATGCAGTTGAATAACTTTTTACCTTCTGAACCACTGGCAGCCAGTCCATCGCCAGAGCTTGCTCTAGAACAGAGTTGTTTTGGCAGATCATTGATCTCCACACCTCGATCTTTACACTCTCTGTGTTTAAGAGCCACTCGAAGGGACCCAAGAGATCCTCACAGGTTAAATGCTCATGAGCCAGACTCTAGTAAAAACAGAGGGAAAAAAACACAAATTTATAAGTGTTTGCTACATGTACTGCTTTCCATGCTATGATTAAAAACCTCAAAGCTCAGCGAATCATTTGAGAAATACATTAAGGCAGACAGGTGTTCATTCATTCCAGTCATCTTAGATTCTTGCACATAGTTTCATACACATTTGATGTATTTTGGGAAGCCCTTTTTATACCTTGGCCAAGACTACAGATGAAAAATAGCCTTTTCGCACATTCTGGCATTTTTTAACGTGTATTTATTACTTTTTAACATATATATTATATATATATATATATATATATATAACTTATATATATTTAATTTCCACAAACATTTATTTGTGTTCTTACTCTGTGAATTTTTAAATAAATTATACATTATTCATTTAAAATAAAGCTTTGTGAGTCTGAACAATGCTTGGTTGTTCAACAAGTCCTTGAATAAATAATACAGTTTTTTTCAACCTGAGTGGGGTTTTTTCTTGCTGTTTTAGCTCTCTTTTCTTGTTTATGGTTAGAATTTACACACTATTTTCATTGCTTAGAAATGTAACTTTGGAAATACCGGCAGTTGCTCAAACTTGCACTTCTACCCACATCTAAGCAGGGTGACTAAGGGTACTGTATGTTCACACTGCAAGCTTTAGCACTCAATGCTGATGTATTGTTTTTTTTGTTTTTGTTTTTTCTTTGCCTGACCACATTTTTTCACGGTCCTCAAGTGACACCTGCATGATGAATGTTGATCTACATTGAGTAAAAGTCACATGAATTCTGATCCGACCTGTATCTGATTTAGACTTACACATCACAACTTCAGCACAGTTCACACAGTCATGAAAAAATGATCAAAAAAAAAAATGATGGTTGAAACTACAAAAATAAGATCAAGGTTGTAAAATAACATAATTGTCCTTCAAGAGATCAGTGGAAATTCTACAAACATACCTTCATAATCACTTCCATCACACTGTCCAGAACGTGACCCATCCAAACACTTGCATCAGTCTGGTTTGTCAGCAATGTTAGATAAGTCAGTTGGAGTTGATCAGCATCTTTCAGAACATTTACCATAAGCTCTGCAAACACAGGAGATCGTAGAGAACACATTCACAACAAAGACAAAGCCAGATCAGTTGACTACAGTCATATTCAGTGATATGCTATAAAACATAAGTACATTTAAAAAAGAAATGCACCTTTGCAGACTTATATTGACTTCTCTTTCTGTTGTATAATATGTCCCAGGGGGTTGTTTTTTATGAGGTGTTTTCCTTCCCTGTGTGTGTGTGTCAGTTTTCCTGCAAGGTAACTTCTCTAGTCGTACTTTGCGTTCTTCTTCTACTATTCATCAGTCCCCTGAGAAAGGGTGTGAACTTTTCCCATTCACCTATTTTTACTCCAGGTCGATTTGACAATAGTGACTGTGGCAGCATGTGACAAAAAAAGTGAGTCATGCTCCTTATGCTAAACACAATATGTCCTGTGAATGTGTTAACTTTTAGGTTTAAACTCTCTGCTCTTGCACTCTCATCGTAAGGGCTAACAACAAAAGCTCATGTTTACAGTGTAAATTTTTTTTCAATAGTGTTAAAACTGTCACTGTAATTAGACACTGACGCAGGCTTCACTGTAAGCAGGATGTTATGTAGTCTTACCTTCAACAGTCTCAAGGGTCACTGTCGCTGCCTTCATGGACTGAAAGCCAGTTCTAAGGATACCCTGGACAACCATATCCACCTCAGGCACAATTTTTATAATCTCCATCACCACTTGACCGACCTCCAGAAACCTGCCAAAGCACAAGGCCAGACTCAGGAGAAAGTACAAATCGTTCACATTACAGTGGACACTAGACTACAGGTTTCTATATTTAGCCTGATGTGTGCAAGGACAATTTTAAAAAGTGTGGCTAACTTTAGAGGTGTAGAAAGTGGAGGGTGAGAAAGACACAAACAAGTTGAATGGGCTGAAAATTATAGAATAAATTGTACAACAAATGTTAAAGGATCTGTACAAACATGGCTTTCAACATCAGTCATCTGTAAGATATATATCTAAAATGAAAATGTTTCTTCCATGTACAGTGGTGTATAGATCTCTACTTTGACAGTACAGTGTGGGCATTAGCTGGTGCAAAAAATATTATAAGAAGCTGTATTTTTTTTCATCATCTGAAGTAATATTTAATTTTTAAATGTGCACTCTCATATACATTTCTTAAAAACTACTTCAATTGTGTGATATTCAGAAAAGCCCATTCAGTTGCTTTATTCCAGTTTGCATATTCGTTTTTGTAGTATTAAAAAAAAATTAGCAGCCTCCAATGGATTTGCTTTACAGAAATTATGTAGAGATCAGACTGTACTTACAGCTCCTCCTCAATGTTTTGTGGTTGTGTATCTATGCTACGGTGGGTCCTCGTGATGTTGGAGCTTCCCTGCCCTCCTGGGGATAAACCTCCCATCAGACTGTGCAGCAGCCCCTTGGCGAAGGACACATCATGAGGAGCAACGTGCTTACTCCACGCCAGGAGAGCCTGTGAGTAGTATAGGTCACATAACGGAGGACAAACAGGAAGTAGAAGGTATGCTCAGTTAGATTTGCAAAATTAAAATCCTTTTTGCTAAATCCATTATGTACAGGAAGTCAATCACTTCCTTTTCGATTCCTGTCTCTTTCTTAAAGCAATAAGAAATAAGGTGAATAAATGACACTTTATTATAAAATGGTGAAAATAATTCTGCCTAGATCTAATCTTTTTGTCAATAATCTTAAGAAAATAATTATTTTGTTCACATCTTTATTCACCTATGCAAATTTGTTTTGAAGAGCTGAGCTGCAATTTATTTTTCTTAAACTGCAAAGACCTTTGATTTACAATATATACAATCCTTCCAAAAAAGAAATTGCATATATTGTATATTTTGTTATTAAGCAAGATTGTGCTATGTACATTCAGTGCTAAAAGTTAAGCATGCTAATTATGACAGTTGTTGATAACCTATAAGACTTTAACCATATAGAGATTTATTCACCAGTTATGAAAGCAGAAAGCTAAGATCAAGTAAACTGGTTAACTGGGTCGCACAAAGACTGTGTATCATTAGCACAATTGCGCTGTGGCACCGAATCTGTATGTGAGTAATGAGACACATGCGCACCACTGCTGTATGCCAGCATTAGATTGGTAATTGATGTCCACTGACTGTCAGAGCGAGTAAATTGAGTGATGACAGTGTTAGCTAACAGCTTCTGAATGAGAATTATCTCATCAAAACACGTCCACCATAGTGGCAGAGCTAATTGGATTTCTTTAAGGTTCCTGTTCCCCAGGTGTGACCTGGGACTTGCAGTTGCTTGTTGCTAAGGCCAACAGCTTTCTCGTGGCCGTAGACTAATTATTTCCTACGCTCTGAATCTAATTACTTGTGAAGGTGGCGCTTGAGAATCCAAATCAGAATAACACAGACGGGCGCATGAGAGAGAGAGCGAGACAGTGCGAAAGTGAGAGCCGAGACAACAGAAAAGGACAATGCTGCCCACACACACATTCAGTAGCTGACTCATTTCTGAAGTCTGTAATTCTCTTTTGTTGATAATGATAACATAGTTTTGACCTACCTGTTTTGCCAGTTTATCAGGACAGATCCAGCCCAGAAGCATGTCCACAGTGCCTGTATTGCACGCTGCTGTTAACCACATCGGCTTACTGCTGTTGTCACACAGGTAGGAACGCACCATATCTCTGTCCAGTGTCAGGCCGATAGCCTGGAGGGAGAGAGTGACAGTAAATATAATTAAACTGTAGTCGAAAAAAGAGTGTTGCATCAAAGGAAGACATTTTGGTGAAATACACAATATTTGTTCCCTTATAGATTACACTCTCATATCGGGTCTATTAAATATGAAGGTACAGCCAGGAGATGTAGGGAACAGCTAACTTAGCCTGGCTCTGTCCAAAGGAATCTGTCAACCAGCACCTCTAAAGCTCACTAACAACACAATGTACCCAGCCAAGAAATGTTCCAGCACATAACCGCTGTAGAACGTTGAATTGTTGTTTCACACTTAAGATTTTGTACAGATTAAACAAACAAGACATAACGTGTTAAGTAAGCTTCAGAGGTGCTGGCGGGTGGGTACTGTTGCCTTCAAACGGAGCCGCGCTAGCTGTTCCCCTCTGCTTCCAGCCTTTATGCTAAGCTAAGCTAATTCAGCTTAGCTCCGGCTGCATCTTTAGTGTACAGACAAGTAATTGAAGAAACTTCTTTGTTGGCGGAGTGGGGTGAAACCAGTTTGACAAGCTGCTGTGATTTTTCTATCTTATTTAACCCAACCTTATTTTGATCTTCAAAGGGTCAGTAAGTGTTATATACAAATCTCCACCATTGGTGACAAATATGAAAAGGCATCTAATTCAGGTTGGTTTAATATATTTACCACCTTTTTATTTATTTTATACATAAAAGAAACATGAATCACAACTATTTCCTATACTATATGGCTAAATATAATGACTTTGTTCAACACGTACCTTATCCAGTGGTATCTGGACTTCTTGTAGAACATATTTCACCATTTCACTCAGTGAGTCATTGTGCAACGTGACGACATCTCCAAGGGAAACGGACACTTCTACTCAGAATCAAATGAGATGTTACACCCTGATGGCATATCAGCACAAAACTTGACTGACAACATTTCTCTCTCTATATTTATATCAAAGGTGAAGGTTAAAGATGTGGAAGCGGAACAAGAAGAAATTTAACTGTATTATAAAGGTATATTAGGTATTCAGCGGTTTATTTATAAAAACAACACCTAATATATGTACATTCAATTAAAACACCCATGAAATAGCTAAGGCTGACATTACAAGTTACCTTTGCCCGGCCAGTTTTGAACATAGTGGAGAATGTTGATGCCTCCAACAAGCAGTGGATGCACTGTGGAAAGTGAGGCACCGGCTTCAGGGAAATTGGTCTGGATGACATGTATAGCACTAGAGAGACCACAGGGGAAAACATTTAATGTTTGAAACAAGACAGAACCTGCAACAAACACCTGACAGAACTAATGATTAGAAAAACACACACTTTACCCTGTTGCCCAGACTGTGAGCTCAGAGCTCTGGAGAAGTGTTTGTGTTTACCCAATGCTAACAGCTGCCATTTATCCATTTTGCATTGCTCCATCACTGAAAGCACATTACCCCTGTACGTTGGTGAGTAGGGTCTCCGTGGTGCCCAGCACTTGGTCAACAGAACCAGAGGAGAAGAGCTTTGGAATAGCTAGCAGGCTTTCCCAGAGTGAGGTCTGATTTTGCAGCTGATCGAACAACAACACTGCCATCCCAGCCCCCGTCGCCATCTCATCTGGTTTTGTCAGCATCAGCTGCATCAGTATCTAACAACCAGAGGCAATGTCAGAGTCAACAAAACAAACAGTCTTGTGTACTTGGACATTCAAAAAACGGTTTCACATAAAACAGAAATAAAAGAAGTTTTAACTGCCCTGATAACAACAAGGTGACACATGCACATGCAAGCAAACACACACACACACACCTGGTTGAGTGTGTTGAGCGAGACCTCAAACACAGTGTTGTTGGACTTGCAGAAAGTGACCACAGCATAGCAGAGGGTGTTGGCTGAGGTTGTGTTCATCATGGGCAGCATTACGGAGCAGACGGCTCTTTTCACCACGTTCAGTGACTCCAGTGTTTGGTTCAAGGTCTCCTGCAAGGGATAGGATTTATGGATTCAGATTATTACAGTTACACATTAAGTAAATGTATTCATTCAAAAGGTAAATGCACACAATATTAGATTTTCTGAACACAAGGTGATTGTAAATTGTGTAACATAACTAGTGAGCATTATTCCCAAAATTCTTACTGCCGCATACTATGAAATAAAAAATGTGTCAGCATTACAAAAAGGATAATTATAAAAATGTAATTTGTGACTTTTATGACCAGCTATTCTGAATATTTGAAATATTTTGACACCTCTGAAATACTGTACCTTTATTATGTAATAAACCTTAATAATATGAATTCAATAGCCATTGATGAATAGTTGCCATTGACAGATGAATGTATGAACTTACTGCTGTGCTGTACGCTTGAGATAAGTGTGCTGTAACACTTGACCTTCTTGAGACTTGACTGACTGAAGACTTGATTTGTCTGAGACTTATAAAAAAAAATCTCAGCTTATATTTTAGTTAACTGATGCATCTCTGGAAATATAATAATATCTTCTGTAGCAAGGTATTAGTTTCAAGTACTCTTTTTTTTGCTTGTTTGTTTGCTATTTTAATCTCTTGTCACTTTGGTGGAGATACGAGGTTGGTGTTGTCATTTTAGATTGCTTTGATGAGTGGCTTGAATACTTTCCTGAAGGGAGTGAATTGAATTCAAATTGTACTACTTCCAGACTCTTTATTGTGTTATCCTAATCTTTAATCTAACTTTATTGCTCCTATGTTCTACATTTGACTCTAACATAATGTCTCAGTGCAGGCATTACAGTGTCACTTACACAAGAAGAAATAGAAAAAAAAAGAAATTTGAGCCTTTTCTGTCAGACATTATTGTAAGGGTCCATCTGCTATTAACAATGAGCAACACATACGAGACTTGACACCTGAAGAAACAGGCTTTTCCTTATTCTTAGCAGTTTTGTTCCTCCCATTATATCTTAACAATACACACCTGATCTCCCAGAGGACTGCTACTGATGGCGTTCATGAGAGAGACATTATTAGATCTTCCTTGGTTAGATGGACCTTTAAGAAAAGAACACATTGTGTAGAAATTAAGCAATGCCTAATATCAGTCACCTTATAACGCAAACCTTAGACGCAAGTAGAGTCCAATGTTCTTGGACCAAATGGTCAAAAAATTCAATTTGGCGACTTTTCATTTTGGGAATCATGTTTATTTACTTTCTCACAGAAAGTTGGATGAAAAGATCATTGATAAACATGAAGCCAACGGGATACAGTTAGCTTAGCATAAATACTGGTAGTAGTGGAATCAGCTAGATTTGCTTTGTTTTCAAGGGTTTTTTTAACCTGCAGGAGAGAGTCTAGCTGTTTCCCCGTTTCCATTCTTTATGCCAAGCTATTTGTCTTCTGGCTGCTGCTTCATTTTGATACGGATCTTCTCATCCAACTCTCTGCAAAAAAACTTTCCCTAAATGTCAAACTATTATTTTAATTAAGTTCACTTGGATGTTTGTTTCATAATGTTCTAAAATGTTATATTATATTCACTGATAAGAAAATAAAACGAAGACCCCAAAAGTGCATAATTTTACCAGAAGTTGGGGGTGTGAAACGTTACTGGAAAATGTGAAAATATCATCTTTTGGCATTGTACATCACAGTAAAAGGGTCAGTTAATGAGGACAGCATACCCAAAATGTTGGTCAAGAAATCAACCAGTTCTGTAGGATCATTGCTGGAGTCCTTCAGGAAGGAAAGGTCAAAAGTATCCCCCTGAATCAGGTCTGCCAGAGGGGAACCGTTCGACGCGGTCGACCTGTCACACAGTCAAAAGGATCAGATGAGACTTTTTTTTTTTTTTTTTTTTAAAGTCCGTCTTCAAGGGTTTTCCCACAGAGCAGGGGTCAGCAACCTCTACTATCAATGCTAATTTCCAGCCACAGATTAAGCACACCAGTATTGTCTGCAGCGTTTTCTCCTCTTCTTTTTTTGGATTTGGAGTCCATAGCTATTCTAGGTAGGGATACTCAAGATTGATAGCCACCACTATTAAGGTTCCACAAAATATAAAGGAAAAGACGCCCAATCGGAATGTAATGTATGACACACACTTTAGTTGACAAAATGTTCTCTTTTCTTTAATTCTGTGCGCAATGGCTACGTATTTTTTTACAACTGGAGAATGAAGAATAACTGTAGGCCTACAACAATGATAAATGAAAATGTTTTAATAATTGTTATTCATTTTCACATATGTAGGTCTGAATAAAGAGAAAACTTGAAGGTCTAAGAGAGATCCTGTTCAGTTAAAGAAAGCCAATGGAACAGAGGAGGTGAGATATGGATCACTAAAACCAAACAAAAGCTTGGCTGAAAGTACCCTGGCTGGATATTTGCACAAACCATCATTCATCAGCAGGCTGAGGGTTAGACAAACAGGTTTAAGCCACCTTTTTCTTCTGTGTCAGGAATTCAAATTTCAGTGACAGCACAAAAGCTTAAGTAACAAAGGTAGTGAAAACAAGGAATTCCCAGTAACCGATGTTAGTACTTAACACAATCACGCAACTACAATAAAGTAGACACGTTTCCACAAACAAAAGATTGTGCAACTCAAAGTGTTGACGGAGCTGTTAATACAGTGACTACAGTGAATACAGTAAAAAGTTAACGTGAACAACAGACAAAAGAAAAGACAAAAACAGCGCTATCATTTTTAAAAAAAAATTAAATATTGTCACAATATGAATTTATTTTCAGCTTTGTGCCCCAAACAATGGATTCATTTGGCTTCATAAAACTTTGGTGGATTTTGATTAATCAATTAACCAAGTTTATTATTTATTTAGTTTGTTTATATAAGATACAATCGCAGTGAAATGTAATAATTAGGCAAGGAGTTAGGGAGGCTTCCCTTCCACCACGGGGCTGTCGTTGTTGTTTGTACATTTCCATGATCACAGTGACTAATCATGTCTTGTGATGCTGTTTTTGCTGAGGTGTGGCCCTCCTTTGTGACCCGAGAGCCTTCTGAACAACTTTTTCTATCATGTGATGCCAGGCCAATAGAGACCTTCAGTATGTTTAAGATGTAAAAGTCACGTGAAGCCATATAGATGCAGTGATACTGATAATAATTAGAACTTCAATAAATGAGAATTAGCTGTTTCTTGTATAGGTCAGATACATAATATGCAATCTGTACTGAATGGGGGTACCTTTTTTTCCGTGAGGATTTCAGAGATGACTTTGATGCTGTTGGGTCTGCCAGACGTGATTTGTTATGACAGTTGCTGTCTGTGTTGCACATGAGGGTCTGAAGGAAAGGGAAGAAGCCCGTGCTGGGGAGGTTCCGGGGTGCCACATAACCTGGAGGAGACACAAGTTTTAACTTTTGTTGTATTTGTTGGTATGGGAATCTTACAGTACAAAACAAAAATTGTTTGGTCACCATTGTTAAAGTAGGCGGCAAAATAGTGGGTGAGCTTTCTTTCAGCAGATATCCATGACGGATAAGTTTTGCAAAATGCACAGTCGATCTCAGCCACCCACTCTCAGAGGGATTCGTTCAGGACAGAGATACAGGTTCCCCAGGGTAAAAAGCAATAGGTTTACCTCTGTTCCAAAGGCAATACATTCACTTCATTTGCACAGAACCTTGATTGCTGCAGCACCATATAATGGCTACCATTGAAAGTCGAAAAAGCAGCTTGAAAACACCATCAAAATTTGGCAAATAAAAGGTATTTGAGTGGCACTTCTTTATGTGAATTACTGGTAAAATATATAGTGTTCATGACAAATATCGTGAAAACTATACAAACTACTCAACAACAATGTTACAGGGAGGTTAAAAAGAAAAACCATGCATCAGAAACACACTAAATAGTTTTTGGGGTTTTTTTAGTGCCATGTTTTGGTTCAAAACATTTCTATAAACCGGCCCGATAACTTCTGACCTACAGGATCAGGAGCTTGAGCTATTTTCCATTTGTCAGTTTCATTACAATGAGAAACAATCTAAGCTTTTGTTCAAATTAAGAACAAAGAAAAAGAGATTTAAAGAGCATGAAGATCAGGTTACAATCAAGCTGCTGTGACTAGACTGACCTTTCTGGTATTTAAGCCTGTTGATATTATCTGAGAAAGCAATGTTTCATCTTGGCACTACACATTTCTCTAAAGGAGAATGACAGCCTGGCAAACAGCATTTGACTCAGCTCATTCATTGCATTTGTGGGAGACGAATTCTGAAATAATAGTAATTTTTCAATTACATAAGACCTCAAGGTTAACAAATACACTCATGCAGACAGTTCCAAAGAGTCTCACTCTCAATGAGAATTAAACAAGAACAATAAAGAGGCAAGTATTTAAACAGCCACTAAAGAAAGGAAACCACTTTGTATCCATACAGTCATTAGTTTTTAACCATGACACTTTAACACATGCCTCAGGAGCCATCTTATGGGAAATAGTCATTGTATATTTCTGTAATAATCACAAGAAATGATTTAACAGTGGCCCATATTCAAATAAACACTAAATAAAACAACAAAAATGTGTTTGCAGCAACATTGCACTTCCTGATTCAAGGTTACTCCTGGTCATTTAGTCTGAACATCAAATACTGAAGATGGTTTTGTTGCTCGGTTTGGGTGTGGTCCATTACTGTCCCTGATTCCAGTATGTACAAAAAAAACCCCACCAAAGAGCACTTGAAAGGGGAAGAGGAGATATAGTTCAGACTCACTGGATATATTGTATATTAGATATATTAAATTACATGTAAGTCCCTGCGTCCATTGAATCTGATCCATCAGAAAAGACTAAACAAACAGAAGTGGGAGTGGTTAACCGGTAATAGTTAATACCAGGGAGGATAGGATTAGTCAAGATAAGATGGTCCTTCTTACATTGTTAATTTATTTTTATTTTTCCGATGCTGTATATAATGGAATAATATATACTTCCTCATACATACTGACAGGTGCGTTGGAGGATAAAATTCTCTTGTGTTGGCACTGAGTCATTAAATGTACATGCGAGAGGTTACAAATTATTTGTTAAAGAACCAGACTTACTGGTTATCAAAACACTCGTGGTATTTTTTATTATCCATTTCACAATTTCTGCCCCTCCATCTACAACCAACCACTCTCAAATGTGGTCATAGCGACACAAAGGCAGATGTGTGTACATATTTTACGCTCCCTTCTTAAGCACCATTACACACATGTTAACAGTATGGGGATAGGCTCAGATCTGAAGAACTACTTTTGTTTCTGTTACTGTGGTTGTAAAGTCTGAATGTCCATAAATGTGCTATTCTTTATGATGCCAAACAAAAACCTGGCAGTCCATGTAAAGTCAATATTGTGTTAACGCAAATTTTAGTCTATTGTATCGCTCCCTTAAGTTCACCCAGGTTCAGATTTTGCATTATTCTTTACTGTAATCAGAACAACATAATAATCATTTAATGACCTTTTTAAAATGTTTTCATAGACATGGCAGCCAAAACCTCTTTACTGCAATACACTGACAATGCATTGTAGATATAGAGACAAATATGATACAACTGTAATATTTATAAAGAGATTTTTAATGTTTTTATTGAGTTTATCTTTGTAAAAAAAAGTAGTAAAGGCTCTATCGTTGGTAGTGCCAGGGCAGCTTATAGGTGAAATAGGATAAGAATTATCAGTAGGTTATATTGAAAGCTGTTTTTGTTTGCTCACTTTTTATTTTGATTGTACATTATATCATATCATTAATGATTATATAACAGCAAGACTTGCATTTGTAAAGATGTGCATTAGTGATAAAGGGCTATTGAACTACATGTCAATAACACAACATGGAACTACTGGATCAAGGTACTGTTCTCTGCAGTTTTACACTTACATGTATCTTTTACTACTGGAGGGAACTGGTTGCGGGTCACAGCAATGATGATGAAGATAATCAGAGGCCAGATGATCAAAGTCAGGGACCATAGCTATAACACGAGAGAATCATAAAACAGCAATAATCAGTTTATGAAGAGTTCATTTCTTAAAAAAAAGATAGTATTCAACATTTTGAGTGAGACATGGCTCAATATTCCCAAAGTATGGAGTATCCAGTCTGTAAAGGTGTTATTAATTATGATTTATGCTATTTATTGCCCACAATCTTTTTTTAGGTAATGATAAAGCTGATGATCTTATATGAAAATAAGTTCCCACTGCACTTGTCACTTACCGGCTGTCTGATGACTGTCAGCCCATTCTTCCAGAGAAGAAGTTGCAGCTGCCGAAAAAAGGCCATCACGGAGGGAGGCTGAAATGAAAACACCGATCCATCAATTGTCACTTCCTTAAAACATAACTTGCAGTGGTTTGACATTTCAGATATAACAGATAATGAATTTGAGAATAAGTTTAGTTTATCTTTAGTCCACATGACTTAATTCCACATGAAAATTAGTAGTTGTATGGCTGTACTCTTAATGGTGGAATGAAACCAAGAATTACTCACTACTGTGCTAATGGCTCGACAAATCAAGTATAGGTTCTGGGCTCTTGGGACTTTGGGACTTTGGGCTCCAAACAATCGATTAATGGCGAAAATAAACACTACTTGAAATAATCATTAGTTACCTTCCTACACAAAGTAGTTAATAATGCTTCACATCAGTCAACTACAACAGTAAAATCCAGCCTTTACTTTAAAGCATGTCCAACAATAACAATCTAATGATGTTGTATAACCACCTTTTACCTTAAATACTTGAAGTACATTTTCCTATAGGCTCACTTACATAGCCTACTTTTTAAAGGTAGAAGTAGTTTTAGTAACACTTTCAATGCAAGATTTATACTTGCAATAGATTATTTTAACAGTGTGGTATTAGTACTTTTATCAATCAGGCTTTTTTTAGAGCACTTTTCACACAAACACAAAATGCTTCACTCAAGAAAACACCACCTTCCCCAACGCACAAGGTAACAAATGACTTTGTAATAAATAAAACACTCAGTAAAAACACAAAATGAGGAACAAATATTAAATTAAATTATAAATAGGAATAGATATGATAAGTAATAATTAAAGTAGTAAGTCAAATGTACAAATTAATCGAGAATGTAAGAAAAGTAATAACACTGATTCAAATTATAAGCAGACAACAACAAAAAGGAATAAAACAGGTTCTAATGTATAAATAGATTCCTTCCTCCACCACTGCTAATAATAATAAAGTAATGTACTAATTAACCATTTGCCCTACCTGGCTGCGTATGTCCTCCTAATGGGTTAAACTATTTGTTAACAGACTCAGCAGGCTCGTTAGGGAGGACATGGCGCTAGGTGGGACCTAGCAGGATGCCCTTTCCATCAGTCGTTTATGGGAGTAAAAGCAGAACAAAGTGCGCGCTGGGAAATAAAAATAAAAATTAAAAAAAGAAGATGATAAATCCTCCTTGAACGACCCCGCTGTTAACGACAACCTGTCTGCTCCTCGTCTCCTGCTATGAGAGAAATCCCACCTGTGTGAGAGAGTAAATCTGTGAGAAAGGGCGTGTACTGACAGCGACCTGTTCAGTGCAGAGGAGTCCATGACTCCTGGGACAGACTAATTACACGTGTTGGCTGCTGCCAGTTATGACATGTGACTGGATTTGTAATTTACATAATAATCTGTAATACATTTCTAATTACTAATACTATAGTTCCTATAAGGATTATACTTTGTCTAATATATGATTTAATTAGTACGATTTTAGGCATTTCTATATGGCTTTAATGACCCACCATTGCACCATTTGCAGTAGTCTCATAAACTGAGATTATAAACAATTGAGTGCTACTTTATTTTTATTTATTTATTTTTCTGTATGGCCATTGTTCTAACTTCTGCACAACCTGAATAAAGTGATCAGCAGGGAGACATTTCCATCTTTGAATAAGATTAAATGTTAAAAGGTTATAAAGTGTTGCACAATTTGACTTACAAGGGATTGCACTAATTTAGAGGGGACACCAAGCATCATATTGCATCATGTCTCAATTATTAATAAAATAATAAGTGTTGTTTGAGGACGCACAGGTCTCCATAGGGAAAAGTCACACTGATATCATGTGGATCATGTGGGGGATCCACAGGGAGAAGTCCAAACAATGTAGTAAATTCTCTAGACACTGCACATCTTATAACTGTGTTATACACACAGGAAAATAATGATGTAACAAACAAATGTGTATGTTTTAAGAATAAAAAAAACACCGTCTTAATTGCTACATTTACACAAAAGTATTGGCAAGAGGTCATGAGTTCAGCAAAAGTCTGCTTTTCATTTTTTCTTCATCACTTTTATACACACACACACATCCTGTGTGTGTTGGCTGTTAATATCAACAATGCTGAATCACATGATGGTATTTTTCATCAACATGTTCTTCCTGAGAGAGTTTGAGCTTTCACCCACAAGACTTTGAATTGCTTTTTGGACTGTATCAAGAATCGTTCCATTAACAGAAACTTGAAAAAAGGCGAAACAATGGGCAGTATGAAGCAACATGGGTTGGGCCGAACAACGGCGTACATGACACGCGACACTGCTGTTATTGTTCAACCAAAACCATCAATAAGAATTTCATCATCAAGGTAGTCCTACAGGTTTTTCATCTTGATAAAAATATGTTTAAAAAAAATAAAAAGCGTGAGAGCTAATTAGTAAGTACAAACCAGGGTAAATATACCGCATAAATCATCAGACTTGAATCATTTCACTAGGTTACATTTGCTGAGTCAAGCACAGATTTCCAAAATGGCTCTGAAAAGCAGGATTCTCAAAAAGATTTCAGGGGTACTTAGGCATACATTTTTTATTCCTCAGCTCCAGAAAAAGACCCAAAAACAAATTTATAGGGATGACTGCTTCTTGTTACTCTCACTCAGCACTATTACCTCCTCACATTTATCATACAAAGACATAATAAATAAACAATACAAGAAATATGTGCTGCTGGTCCCAAGGATTAGATTTTAATGTTGGAGTCTGGAGTCCAAATTATATTAATTTAAAGGTCCATAGCATGTAAAATTCCTCAAGCGACTATGACATGGTCATAGTCTGAAATGATGTGAATAATCAAAATAATAGTAATATAAACATTATATTTAGGGGTGTACAGGGTACATTTAACAAGCAAAGATATAATCTCTTACAACATTTACATCAACACTTCTAAACTTCAGCTTCTGACTATATAAGGTTATGATATAAATGTAAGTGTGTGTGTGTGTGTGTGTAAATGTAAAATCTGTTTGTTTTACTCCAAAAGAACTTTTATTCAACACCAAAATTACACATCTACTGTACAAACCATGAAACAATGCCCATATCTGAAATAATTAACGTGTGCATGCTCAGGGATAAAAAACCAACAACAAAAAAGTTGTGTTGTAAGATAACAGCTTGATGGCTGGCTAGTGTTGACAAGACACAGTGGCTCCTTCGTGGCATTTTGATTCCTTTCAGTGGTAGTATCGATAGCCATAACACCATAATAACACATACCAAATATACAAAAGAAAAGGCTAAAGGTATTAAACATTAATAAGGTAATTTCATGTAACAAATGTTAATACTGGCACTGGCTAAAAACATGAAATAAGGGAGGAAACACTGAAATACGGTGGAAGCAGAGGAGGTATACAACTCTTTATGTAACGAAGCCTTGTGCTAACAAAAGGCAGTGAAGAAGACGACTGCTAGCAAACATGGGCGAAAACATTCCAAGTTTCTAAAATAAGTTTTGCTAATGTTTTATGAGGAAGGAAATGCATTTAACAGACTTTTTAGGCCTAATAGTTACACACAGAGTGCTTTCAGGTAAGAAAGACCTCTTTACTTGTTTACAAGAAAACTCCATAGGGCACCTTTAATTAAAAATGCATTATCTTCAAACTATGTTCATAATCTCTGAATGCTTCTTATGTGGTCTAATTTTTAAGGGAAAAAATAGCTTAAGTTTAGATGCTCAACATCTTTGAATCTCACAAAATGTTGAAGTGAGGATACTCCCATACAACACTGTCTGTGGCAGTCATTATAAGACACTTTTTCTCACCAGTGGTGCTGGTGTTAGCGATAAATATTAGAAATTATGTAAAATCCCAGGCTGTCATGAAGGATCCACATTCAACATACAACCTACAAAATATTTGCAGATTTACTTGTTGAACGTTACAGCAATATAAGCCCAGTCTTGGCCTTTTGAGCATACGGTTCAGTCACAGTGGTCTCCAAAAACCTGATTGCACAACTCTGAAACCATAAAAAATACACCATAAAACACTTAAAATACTGCTTTTGGCACTTGTGTGTGTCAGGAAAGTCAAGAGGTCTCATCAGTAAACAATTTTCCAGTGTGTGGGCTGTTCACATTCTTTCTCAGTGTCCCCACAGAAACGATTGTATGTAGTTTTAGGGTCAAAACCCAGGATCTCCCTCTCTTCGTGGATCCGGAAAGAGAAGGTGGACACTGATGTTCCTATGAAGAATCTGAATGAATAGATAGATAGACAGATAGATAAAAACACCAGAAGGAAAAGTGATGCACAGTTGATGGAAAGTTACATGAGCATGTGACACAGTGAGAGCAGCATATGCAGCAGTCCTGATTAGTTTTTCAAGTTGAAATATTTTCCTAGGGCTGGTAAAATATCTGAGTTATCTAGGAGTAAAGGTCAATTTCAAGTTGACAGAGTGATGAAACACAGTAACCAACGTAAACTTGTTAGTCCTAAATAATTACCTCTTTTTAAAAAAAAATCAGCAATAACACATGGACCGCGTCAAGTCTTAATAATGCAATTTACACATTTTGTGTTACCATACAATGCCTTCAGACAAAAAACACTAAAGTAATGCACACTGAGACCCATTTCTAAATTTCTAAAAAGTTATTTTTAATTACTCTACACACAATACTCCGAAATGATATAGACAAAGGTATAGACAAAGTACAGCTGAGGCTGATGGAAGTTTTACAGGTATTTGATCATTAACCAAAGTATTGGATCAATTAATTTGATCTGATGATGAGGAAAAGTGAGGGGGGCACTAGTGCAGCAAAATAATTTTTAAGAAACTCAAATTTAAACACTAACGCTAACCCTTAGTTTAAATGAATGACAACAGAGCTAAGCATATGTAATTAATAAATAAGTCATTAATATAAAACCTGTGCCGTCATATTGTCTCATACCAATATGTTGACTGATAAACTGTTATGCTAATCACCATGTAATGAATGCATGCAACAATACCATAAAAACTTTAAAAATCTACCTTGAATGTGCACATATCCACTGGTCAATGATGGCCACCCCTCCGTCTTTAAGGAGCTCCAGGTCCTCTGTGGACGGCTCAAACCGCACCATTTCTGGCAACAACCTTTTCAGCTCCTTCAGTTCTACAACATTACATCGATTATATATAACAACAATTCCCACCTTATTGTGTTAATGCTCTTTGAAATGGTTTTAGACCAGAATATATTTAACAGTTAAACTAAATATATTTAATCACAAAATATAAAGGCTTTTTATTTATAAAAAAAAATTGTCGTATCAACCTTCAAAACACAATTTCATGTAATTTCAACATTACAATTTTCTCCACAAATAATTGTAAACGGTCTCATTACCTTCCCCGTCTGCATCTGTTGCAACAAACACACTGTCGAGTTTGTGCTTCTTCATCAAGCTGCGCATCTTTTTGACTGCCCCCTTAAGGCTGGGGACATCCTCTCTGTGACCCCAGATAAAGTCCTTCCTGCGCAAGTGGGCCCCCAGATATGGACCACCTTTAGCTGAGCCCAGCTTGGCCTGAGAAGCAAATAAATACAGACAACTGTTTAATTATTGCTTAAAACTTGACCATCAATGGGCTGAAATCAATAGTTGCTGTTTTTTTTAAATTAAGTGATCACAATGTCAATCTATAAAAATTGCAGACTCAAACAGCACATGTATGCCCCAGTCAGATACACTGACTCACTTTCATGCGAGTCCAATCTTCACTGTAAACGGTATGGTCTCTGTCATCGGTGGAGTTCAGGTACTTGGCTCGGAAGTCATCTCCTATGAGTCGCAGGTGCTTGGAAAAAACCATACTGCGACGGGTCTACATCAAACACAGACAATTGCAGACACTCACATCAGGTTACAGACGAGAGAGTGGCCCCTTACACCCGTGGTGTCAAAATACCCAACCAAATATCCATGTTATTTACTGTTAGAACACAGTAACATTACAAGGTAACACCACATACAGCAACCAACATACTAACGCTGACCTCAGATCAGATAGCCAAATATTATTACAGTAAAGAAATATTAGAAAACAGATGTCATCTGATACCCAACACCACATATTAGCCCATTACTTTACTTACATCCCAGTAATCCTTCCCAGCATAGTGATCATGGAGGAGTGTCTCTGCTCGGTCAAGCATAACTGATCTGCAAAAGAACGAGACACAAACAACGAGATCTGTGAGAACTAACACTGAGTAATATCACACTTTCATAGAAAAAAAGTCAGATAATCTTTCAGATATTCACAAATAGAAGAATCAAAGACTTCTAGAGGACTTGTGCTTATACTTAAATTAAATAAACTGGCTGTTATAACGAGCTACACCTAATGTGATCTAATGTACACTGTTGGATTAGTAATTAATTAGTAAAGTTACTAGCGCCAAATTAAATGTAGCTAAAGAAGTATTAATTTAAAATGAGCTGCTCTACCTCAGGCTGTAACTCAGATGTGTGTTGGAGAAGATACTAAAGACAGTTGTGTCACAGCAACCTCAACTTTGGGCCTGATTTATTTTTTCAGAACATTACAGAATTTGCCTGTAGACAGATTAAATACAATCTTTTTTTATTATTGCTCGCAGTCTTTCGCTTTGCAGTTTTACTGTACAACTGAATTTATTAAAACATACTCCATTTTCAAAAAGACATATGACAAAAGTATTCAGAGATTTTGTAAGACAACTGAAGGTGGTACGATATCCTGGCAAGATATTTAGATAACACAATTTGTTTTTACATTTTTACAACACACTTTATCATAGCTTTACCAGCACACTTAATATGCTGTCCACTGTTTATAGTAATCTGTAAGTGCTGCTTCACGAGTACAATTAGGTACTGTGTTAAATTTGCAAAAGGGATTAACGTTTAAAAATAATCATCGAACACCACAGGACGGAATGCAATCACAAAATTCAAAAATAATATTGATTTATCTGCCACAGACACATTTTAACAGCCATCGGTGCATGACAAATGTCAACGCACGTGTACAGTCGGTAGACTCACGTCACTGTGATGTTTTTCTGAAGAACCGGGGCCATAATGGAGGCATGGCCTTGAGCCGATATACATGTTACATTTCGAGCTCTCGTCTCCTCGTAGCCCCAAAACCAGCCCCTTGGAAACACACACACACACACACACACAAGCCAGATAAATGAGACAGTTGATGATGAATGGAGAGAAAGGAGACGTGCGAGCAGGAAGCTAGAGATGGATATCATTAATACAGAAATACTGTGTGATCCATCACTGTCCAAAGGAGGTCTACTGAGTTATTCTACTATACTTACAATTCATTTTCTTTGGCACTTGAGCTTAATGAATCTCTTTCGTGTAGGAACAATAAACAAATGCATGACAGAAAAAGTTTGATAACCGCTGGATTCAGGAAACATCAGTGTCATGACAACTACTATGAAAAGATTGTAATCAATGGTAAATACTGTCAGGATAAAAACCCATTTCAATAAGAGCTTTACACATTACACTGCTACAGCAAATTAGTTGTATATGAGTAGAAATGGTAAGACACATGGAGGCTCTTCTTACACTGTATGTTTTAAATTGATGTCGCACTGTGTGGCTTTACCTGTAGTAGCCTTGTTTATCTTTGGAGTACATCAACTTCTCAATGCACGGTCGCTCATCAACTTTTTCCTCCCATTTTCCATCAGTCCATCCCTCCGCGTAGTTTTGCAGTACCAGAACTTGGTCTATGAATGGGCCTCCATTCTCTAGACCCGGGCGAGAAACACAACTGGGTGTTAGGCTTCAACACATTTAAAATGAGCTAAGTAGCAATCTGTTTTAACAGCTGATTAAATAGCGGTGACTGTGCTTTGTTTAAAAGAACCCTTAGTATTTATTAGAGTATAAAAAAGCTTAAAGAATACTCCGTAAATGAAAACCTTTGAGAAAATGTAACTATAGTCTGGGTCACCAAAATTAAAAGCTCACCAGCAATGAATTCCTCAAACTCAATGACAGGCACATTGGCCTGCAGGCTAGTGAGGCTGAAGAACTCTCCCCACGGGATTCGGATCTGGTGGATGTTGGGGCTCTGCCAGTGGTAGAGGCGACCCCACGGGGGAAGCACTAATACCCAGTCATCTCCCCCCTTCCTCAAAGTCTTCACCAGGGACGCCATGCGGATATAGACATCTCTCCGCAGATTGAAACCCTCTGGGGGATTCACGTCATACAAAAGGTACCTGAGGTGACACGAAAGGACTTAGAGTCTGAAAAAGCTTTGGATAGGGGAAAAGCAGCAAGAGGTTCTTTGGTGAAAATCTATCATATTCAGTAACAAAGTCACCTTTAACAAAATAAGAGCCATATTTGTCACATTGCAGCTAATACAGTCCAAATTATGCTTACTCTAGGACCTACAAGAATCCATAATTTAAAGCTTTTTAGGAATCTATTCCTTCTATTTTATGGTTTAAGTAACTTAACCTTTAACTCTACAGAAAGTTCATCCTGTGCCAACATTTAAAAGGTGGTTTGTTGTTGGAACTGAACGATGGCAACAGTCTTAACAGGTAATAATCACAGGAGCGTCACAAAAAACAATAAAATAGTGCCAAGATTTAATCATACAGTCTATGGCCATGACATTATACACAGAGGACAAAGAGGAGAAACCAGCATCAGCATTACATGATAATAATAACAAAAACACAAAGAGCAAATTCTTGATAAAGGTTTATAACCTACAAACTGCTTGATCAGTTTAATACGACCATGAAGCAAACAAATGCCCATGCACAGGTAAAACTACCAGTAAGTAACTCATGCCACCTTTTATCAACAAACCTCAAAAATCCTTGACATCAGATATCATTAGTTACGTAAGGGTTGTTAGTTAGCAACATAATCCCATTATTTCTAAACTGTAAAGGCAGAAAAAAGGAGACTGCACTACAATTAAGTGCAGGATGATGAACTATTTATACGCCGAAATACACTACAAGACAAATAAGTTTTGAAAATCGTATTATAGGATAGGTTTATAAAGAATGCATGGTTCTAAAACGCTAAAAGACATTAAATTGACAACTTTTTAAACGGAGTCAGGTACACCTTTACCTTTCTCCAACAAAAGCCGGTTACTAACTCCGGCAAAAGGGGTAGAAATACAGCCTTTAAAGGGCGAAGGTGTAACCTGGAGCTGTAGGTAGCAGATGACCTTTACAGCTGAACAGAGATGAATTAACTGTGACTGTAGTTTCACGTTAGTGTGGTAACGTTAGCCGCTAGCTGGCTAACACTCACCGCAGGTCCCTGGCGGCGGCGACGGATACGGTGGCCGTGTGGCTCGCACTGTACACATTGTCAGAGTTTACGGCTTTAAATGCTGCAAACGCGACGAAAACAGACAAAGAGAATGAGGTCAAATAATGTCTTGAAGCGATAAACACTGCTGGTATACGCACTGCCCTGTGCGCCATATTTCCTCTGAGCCACGCACTTCCGGCAAGGTAAAAAGCGTCTGTACGGTTGCCTAGCAACCTGCAGTGGTCTGAATTTTTCAGGTTCTTCAAGATAGTGGAAAATGATAACTTAACATCTGAAATCATCAAAATAAACGAAATGTAATACTTGATCTCATATGTTAGTCAATGAAATTGTAAACAAAAGAGAAAAAAAAAAAAAGAAATTACAACCCCGGTTTTGAATGAAATGTGTGTATTTTAATATGAATGAATGGAAATAAATGTCCATGGTAGAATTTTATAATTTCCTTTATAGATCCATTGAAATGTTTCAGTCAACGTATGAGGCAGGTACAGCCCAAGTTTTTCTTAATGTCCTTTTTTAGTTGTTAGGCACAAGGTGTTTGCTTTCTTATTTTCCAGGAACAGGTAAAGGACTGTTACAATATAGTATATAATAAAAAGAAGATTTTTACCTCAGCAAATTTTGTTTTTCCACCTCTTACAGAAAATACATATGTGGTGCTTTTCCTTAACATACTAAATATAGTGTCACAGTAGGAAAAACACAATACAATTAATGATGAATGATGAATTTTATTTAGTTTCTTTGTGCATGCTTTCGTGGCTCACTATGACCCCTTGAATAGGACAAACCCACTGTTAATGTTAATATTACTGTATTACACTCAAACACGCACATAAAGCAGTCCAAGCTTAGCCAAAACACCTACAATGATCCCATGTGCCCTGAATTGAACAGGAAACTGGCACTGAGAACACATCACTGGATGTTATCCTGGTCGTATGTTACTCCCAGTTGTCTTCTGGCCTCATCTATAACTTCTGCTAACAGGCTGGAATGAGCCCACGGCATCCATGGACTCTCTTTTAGTCCTGGAGGGGAACAAGCAATCACAAACAATGATAAGCAAAAGACCACAAGGACATATATGAATCATATTTTGACAGCTGATTGGTCAAGATAAGCTATTATCATATTAAGTATTGAATTCACTTCTGAACATGTTAATAAAAAAAAACAAATAAGATCAATAAAGATCTATTGTAAATGCTACAGCTAACTGTTTAATCGTTACACATTAGAGCATCTTGTACCTTTCAGCAGACAGTGGCGGACCTCCTCAGCTTCATATCGTAGACCTGTGCTGTTGGTGAAGTTTAGGGGCATGCCAGCCTCTGGCAGGGGGAACTGCATCTCCTTCCCGTTCACCTCCAAGGTTGTGGGGCACCACATATGGTGGGGTACCTGATGTGGAAACCGGTGTAATGTAACTCGCCTTACATGACATGCTAGAGCCACAACAATGACCACTTGCTTTTGACTGGCTAATAGTTACAATTTGTATCTCAAGTGAATGTACTTTTAATTATCCTGTTGAGCTGAGATATAACACTAGTATTTCACCACATCTACTGTGTTTTATCATGTTTTTTTATGTTCTAATAAGTTTACAAGCCTCAACTATACTACAGTGTACTATACTTGAATTCAACAGCTTAAGTGGGCAATTTCAAAACAGACAGAGACACACTGCATAAAAAGGTAAGGTTTAAAGGTAAGGTGTTAAAATGTATGATTTTCCGTTTAGCTTTCCAAATAAAATTATGTAAAGATCGCACACGACTACAAGTCTACAGGCGCACACTGGTAGCTCCACTGGCTGCAAAACTCTTCACAATCAGCTGTAGCTTCATGGGTTAATGCACTTGGAACTGAGTTCTAACAAGAGCATGCTAATGTTAACAATAGCCTACAATTAACATTAACATGATGTTATTTTGTCCTGTATGGAGAAGACGTCTCTACTTTTCTTACTGAATGCTGTGCTTTCTGTTACCTTAATGGTGCCTTTGGTCCCAGTGATGACGGCATCACAGGTCATCATCATGGTGATTGAACAAGTGCAAACGGCCAGTCTGTTTCCTGAGAACCTCAGGACCAGAACTGCTGTTCCATCAACACCTGGATAAAAGATGTAGTGAGAGCTTTGGTAACTCTGGAAAAGTGGCTACTAATTTCCTCTATAAATGATCTCTGGATTTTATCTCATAATAACTATCAGGGTTTTCAAAGACTGAATATTTCATTTAAGTATTTAACTTGTCATTCACTAAAATGTTCCTTCCCTGAGACAATCACCTGTGTCTATGCAATGTCCTGTGGCTTGGATGGACTCGGGCCTCTCGCCATTAAAAACCATGAGGACAAACTGCAAACAGTAGATTCCCAGGTCCAGCAGTGCCCCACCTCCTAACTCCCTCGCAGCCAAGCGAGAGATATGGGTGAGTGGAGCTCCCAGATCAGCCCTCACCATCTGAACATCACCCACTTCACCCTGGCCCAGCAGTCTCCTCACTTCAAGGGATACGGGAAAGAAACGCGTCCAAATTGCCTAAAAGGAGACATGGAATGGGTTATCAGACAAATGGTGAATTGTAAATGTGATTTTGGTTTAAAAATGACTATATTTAGTTACCTCCATGAGAAAAACACTGTTGTCTTGGGCTGCGGTGATGAGTTCCCGCACTTCCCTTGAATTCATGGCCAGGGGCTTCTCAATCACCACATTCTTTTTGGACTTCATAAAGAGCTTTCCAGTACTCAAGTGGTGAGGATGGATGGTGCCGATGTACACCACATCTGAAGTGAGAAGGAAAGAAAGACAAGTGTTTAGACACATTATTAAATAGTAAATTAGTATTCTTGGAGCTTGAGATTCATTCACTGGTCTGACACTTTGGCGAAGTAGAATGTGTTCATTCAAATTTAGACCAAAATCAGATGCCATATGCTGACAGAAGAGCCCACCAATGTCTGGATCTTGTGCCAACTCATCATAACTTCCGTATGCTCGAGGGATGTTGTGTTTTTTGGCAAATTCTCCAGCATGCTGCAGGTCCCTCGCTGCAACAGCCACTATCTAAAAAAAAAAAACATAAGCATTTATGTGCAGTAATTTAAACTGAATAAATATGTATCAAACCTTAAATATAAATAACATTGTGAACAGAAATCTGCCAATTAATGAATTGCAGAAGCAAATAGATCAAATATTAATTCTGGAATTGAAATTAATTTTTAAAGAAACAATTTGTAATGCTAAATTGCCCATTCCCACCACTAATGTGTGAATCATAACTAGCAAATATCTGTCAAAATTAGTGCAATATGATGTCTTTAACCCATATAGTCGCAACCTTAGAACAACCATAATTTAACAAATGAGGGAAGCAATAACACTTGAAAGATAGATTTCACTTATTACACACATACATTTCATGGATTTACTGACATCCGGTTCTGCTACTGCCAGCCTCAGCTGTCAAAACAGGTTAAGTTTACCCAAACGAAACACAGGTTCTAAAGTGAATACAACGGTAAGCATTTGGACCACCACATTTCCCTTCCTTGGTATTGGAGGCACTGTCATCGTACAAAAACCTGAAGTATGCAGTACTTTGACCTTTGTGTCAAGTGTACAAAAATTTAGCATTAAGTAAATTGCTTGCATTGTAGTTATGAAAGCATGACTGTTCAGCATTATAGTTGGAAGGAAGAATGCAGTCCCTAATCTTCCAGCCAGCAGTGGGAAAACAACAGTGGAAGTGCAAGATCATCCTCTTGGTAGGTTAAACAGCTGTACAACCAGTCTGACCTTGTACATTTTGTTTAGGACAAGTAATGCTTTCTTTGCTGATTCCCCATGGGAGGAATTCAAGGAATGTGAAGTGCTTTGCTCAAGGGCGCATCAGTGGTGGTAATGAGAACTCTGAGGTTATGGACAGCCAAAGAATAATGGGAATAGCTCTAGTTCTTTACCTAGATCGGAAGTCACACAGGATAATAGGTGTCCCACAAGCCCAACGTTTATTTAAGAATCCAAGAATCACTTTTATTGGTCAGGTATCGTGTTGCACATACAAAGGAATTTCCACTCCATTTTTACGCTTCGCTCTCAAATGCTACAGAACACACACCCACTTAATGCAACGTTGTTTATTAGGCGTGGGTTAAAACATGAGCCTATGTACATCATCAAACGTTACCCCTCGTGCGTCACTCCCCGGAGTCAGGGTTTCCGTAGAGCAACGCGAGAAGTCATCGGACCTGATTTTACCTGCACCTGCACTATTCACCCGGTTCCAGCGTGTTTTGCCCATGTGCAAGCTACCCCGGCTGTTACATGTGCGCAACCCCCTTTGACCGTTGGTCTCCCGCCCTCCTGAACATGTCGGCGCCAGCTCTTGCAGACTTAACCCACCGCCAACCCAGGGGGCCGCTCCGCGTTATTGATAGTGGGCTGTGTTTTAGTACATGGAGTGTGCCCAACAGTAAGTCTCGCAGGTTAATTTGATAATGCAAAAGTTGGAAACAGGAACAAATGGCATATTTTTTTTTTTTACCTCTTTCTTTAATGAACTACTGTACATTATCCGCAATGTTTGTCAAGATATGTCAAAATAGAAGTCAACCCTCATAAAGAGTGGATCCAGGGAAAAGAGTGTCTGATGAAGAAAGAAAACTAATATGCTATTGATTTGGGTAGTCATATACGTTCTTTGTCGTCTTTGCAAAAAATGAACGCAGCACAGAAGATGTGTGAGAACTCGTGTTTCTGTGCCAAGAAACATAGATGGGCTACTTTATTTTACCGGAAGTTTAATATGGCATCTTAACAGTCCAACAATGTTTGGGGGAAGCAGATTTATCTGAAGCAAAGCACACGGTTTCAAACTTCAGGTTTTTATGTTCTGTCCAAAAATCCTAATTTTTCTGCACAACAAAGAAACATAACCTCAGGACGCCCGGCAGGTAGGTGCGAAATTTAATTTAAAAAGGGGTAAAATTAAAAAAACCCAACAAATATTTCTGAATTTAAAAACCCAATACATGCAAAGTATTATCTTAAATATTTTTTGATAATCGACTCATTTTGCCCTGACAAATAACTGGCCACGCAAATGGCCAGGCTAAGCCTGTCTAATACTTCTCTCCCTGCTT